GCGAGTAGGAGTTACTCCGCCCCCAAGCCAGTTTGAGAGTCACTCCTTGTCCGCCAGCTCCAAATCATAACTTCTATAGCGTGCCGGATTCGAACCCGCGACCTCGATGACCTCTCTTGCACTCGTTGCACGCCCACACAAGGGATAATTAGGGGAAACTCAGGTAGTTTTTCTACTTAAACAAAACTGGTTTTGTCACGGTTTGCTCTTCGTACCACCCAAATGTTATTTCATGTTCATGACACATTTCATGTAGTTCTTATTTGTCTAATTTATGCAAAAAGTTTTCGATTTTAGACTTGCATAACAACCGTTGCCATACTGTTGAGAATTTCAGCAAAGAAACTAAAGGAACACGGCTTCGAGAAGACTTAGCCAACTGTGATACTTGCAAGACAGAAACTGTTTTTACTTGACCCTAAATACGATATGGCACTCATTTTTACTGCAACAGCTGCCGGTTCACCTAATCCTCAATTTTTCAATGTTCAGTTCAAACTTGGTTGTCAAATGTTTTTTATTCAACTAGGCTGAAAACGTACTCGTAAAGAAAGATTTTTCATTTCACATAGTTTGATAACAAAATGAAATTGACTTGAAATCATTTTGCAAATGTGACGGAAGTCAGACACTCCTTCGTTAGAGACGTTGACAACGGGAAATGGTCCATTGTATGCTAAATTGGCTGCTTTGACCTGTAGCGAGGCTGAGGGTGACATCGTTATGAAAGGGACGAGAGACTAGTTGGTTAAATAATGATTTACAGTACTGTTGTATCATAACAAGGTTAACATTGGCTCCTTTCCTGTTCAAATGCGTGAAAAGAGTAAAGCCAGCAAAAAAAAATTGTCGTTCTTTCCTAAAGTTAAGTCTATATCACCTGAGTAAGGTTTCAATCTAGGTCAGAAAAGAAACTCCAAATATGTTAAATGACTACAAGCGATCCTTAACATCTGATGGTTAATCTAAGGTTACGTAAGGCATAATATGCTGTTAGTTCCTCAACGTGACCCTAAAGGTGCTTGTTCAAGACAACTGGCTATCTTTCACAGGAGCGGGCAAAGCATTGTGAAATTATCAAGTTTTTAGCAGCTTTTGATTCGCCGATCAAAACAAACCTTTTGTATGTTGCATCTACTTTCAATTTGCTGCATTCACTAAGGTTCGCATTGGGATTTCAGTAATGTACAAAAGTGTAAAACAATTGTTTTCATTCGGTTTTGATTCACAACCTTTGTTATTTGGACTGCGACCAACATTTATATATTTGCATACAAAGCACGCTTTGAAGTATAACCACGCGATAGATTCGTCACATCGAAGACAAATCAGAGATATTGGCCGTTTGAAACAACTTACTGTCGTTTCTTCCTCTTCCTTTTGAATTTGAATGAAGCCAAGGATTAATTCTACATTTTAACACGAGGGCCTAAGAAGAAATGAGCCGGTGAGAGAATCGGAGAAGAACATGAACTTTTAAGGCGAAAATGCTCCACGCCGGCTGGTGAGTTTAGTATTCAAAATCCTAAAGTTTAGCTCAATTATACTGGTTATGCATCTCAATTTTGCTCCAGATTGTAATATGGGTTTTTTCATCTATGTAACCTTCATATATGATTGCGAATTAGGGCTGCTTAACCTCATCAACCACTGACCATTCGAGACTTGTCCTTGTCACATATTTAATAGTGTTTGTCTTTGACATATTGGTAAAGGCTTGTTTCTATGTCGGGGTCAACAATAACGTGTAGGAAAACATTTTTGGAAATACCCACACCGTATTCGCACCGATCGAATACAGTTCTGATTCACTTTGTGTAATCCTTCTACCGTGACAGGGAAAGGATCAAACCATACCTTTTCCGTATTACCTTTTGAGCTAGGGAGTTACCCATTGGAATAACGCAAGAGAACGAGTGACTCAGGTAAAATGAAATAAGGACGAATGATAGACGGATAGCTAGGGCGTGTTATTGTCATAATGCGAGATCACGCTTATGACATCATACCTTTTCTTACAACAAACAAACAAACAAACAAACAAAAAAAAAACAGAAAACAGACTGAAACCAGGAACCTCCCATGAGAAAAATATTTGGACTCCAGATATCTTAGCATCAGCACTGCACTGATGAGGCCCAGAAGGCCGAAGCAGTACAGTCTGCATTATTTTCATTCGGTTTTGATTCACAACCTTTGTTATTTGCGGCAGCTTTTGATTCGCCGATCAAAACAAACCTTTTGTATGTTGCATCCATTTTCATTTTGCTACATTCACTAAAGTTCGCATTGGGATTTCAGTAATGTACAAAAGTGTAAAACAATTGTTTTCATTCGGGGCTTGTTTGGCCCGAAGAACATCCTCGAGGGCGAGAGATTCCACAATTGCGTGTAAATAGAAAACAGATTTCTCCCGGTGCTGAGGCCCCTTGACTGGGGTACCGCACAGAGGAGCTAGCCTTCCCGTAAAACAACTTGTAAATAGTAATAACACCCAGCAACTGTCAATAGCCCAGCTAATTTCCCCTGTGTTGGGTCTCCTTCACTGGTGTACTGCACAGTGGGCCCTTTACCGTTAATTCACTTAATTGAGTTTTAATTGAGTTTTGTTCTGTATATAACACTAATCATTGGTCTGTTTCTATGGCGGCAAGAAACAAAGCCCTCCTACGTAACAGCTGAACTGTTAAACCTCGCGCCGCATAGATTAGATATATGTTTATTATTCTTATTATGTAAATTATTTTGTATATAGGAAGCGATGGTAAAGAATATTCTTATTAAATCCCCCGATGAGTGGGCAACCACGAAACAGGCTTGTCGGGATGCATGAAAGCGTAGTTTATTTGTTTCTCTCCTCCACAAACATGTATATATATATATATATATATGTATACTGCCTGCAACCATCAGTAATCTACCAAGCCTCCGTTACACGCAAAGACAACAACACGACAGAAACGTACATCGGACTCACAGAGAATGACTTCAAAACAAGATACAGAAACCACACCGCATCATTCCGCCACGCTAAACACAGAAACTCTACCGAACTCAGCAAGCACATCTGGACCCTCAAAGACAACAACATCGATCACTTTATTTCCTGGCGCATTCTCTCATCGCACTCACCGTATAACAGCTCAACTAAAAGATGTAACCTCTGCCTCAAAGAAAAATTCCTAATCATCTGCCGGCCCGAACTATCAACACTAAACAAACGTAATGAACTCGTGTCTTCATGCCGCCACAGAAGCAAAGCCCTCCTACGCAACAACTAAACTGTCAATTTCGCGCTGCATAAATTAGACTAGTTAGATCATGCAAATTATATTGTATATAAGCAATGGTAAAGTTTATTCTCATTAAATCCCCTGATGAGTGGGCGACCACGAAACAGGCTTGTAGGGATGAACTTGTAGTTTACTTGTCTTTTTCCTCCCACAATATATATATATATATATATTTATGTATCCTCATAATGTTAGCCTACCAAGACTGACTTATGAGAAATCCCTCTTCTATTTTTCTGACACCCAAAAAACTGAGACATTGTGACCTAACTTCAAAACAGGATTGTCACGCCATTCCCCAATTTGAGAAGCGTCAAAGTTGTTTGTATGACTATGACCCCAAACAATTCAGAATTCATTAGAAAGTCGCTCATAAGAGTTATCTCAGCCCATTTAATATCGAGTAAAATCGCTCCTCAATAATGTTTTTTTTTTTTTAATAACTCCGCGCTGGTCAAAATGATCTACTGATGAAAAGGATTTACTTGAAGTGATCTCTTAATGACGCTTACTTTTCATATTGTTACCCCAAGGAGCTTTGAGAACAAAAATAAAATATGATCATAAGGAAAGGAGAACCTGAACGTATTAAATTAACTCTAAATCAACTTCGCTCGGTCCTTGAATAATGTGATAACATATGTGATACCATGCAAACGACCCTCTTTCCCCCTAAATCTTATTAATTTGATTTAGCTGTAATCGTATGAGTAGTTCCTGACCAACGACTTTTGTCACCAACTTTTGAAACACTACGGAATAATAAAATGCAAATTTCGCCCCCTTTCACTTCTCTCTATGATTAGGAATGAATCTGGATATCTAAGAACGTTTAACTGTTAAAGGTCAGTAATATCTCAGATCTTCATGCCCTTGTTGAGAGACTGACGGAGCATCCGGCTGCTGGAGTTGATCTCCATTTGCAGAATATTTTCTTGAGCTCTCTTTTTATGTCACGTTTAAACAAGGCATAGGCGAACGGGTTTGCTGCAGAGTTTGTTACTACCAGGAAAAACACCGCTTTGCTCAGATCTTTTGTTAACCCACAGAATTTGGTAAAATGACATAATGAGCTGTACACTTCGAGCGCGTAGCATGCAATAAAAATGGCCACAACTGTTCCAATTACACGCGCTGATGACACTCCCGTTTGACCTTTATGATTCGGTTGGTTGTATTGCAATTGATTATTCATTTTCGCAAGTTGTCGACAATGTCTCCTTGCAGTTATTATTATTTTCGTGGTTGCAGTCAGAAGTAAAACACACGGAACAAACTCGAACATGGAGGTCCACACGATGACAGTGATGTTGACGTTTATAGTACAACCATGGAGACTGGTACAAAGCGCAGGGATAAAATACGAAAACAACGGTGCACACCACGAGAAGGCGATCAGATATCGAGCACGCCTTGTTGTCATCAGTGACGTGTAGGTGAGAGGCAGCACAATGGCCAAGTAGCGGTCGATAGTCATCGGGCATAGATTGGTATTCGAAGAATAAATCATCAGTACGGCAATATCGTCTGCGATTTGATTTCTGCAGTTTGTTGCATTGAAACTGCATATGAGTTGCACCGGGAAACAACATGCACCCACACCGAGATCCGCAAGCGCTAGGGACAATACGAAGTGGTTTGGGACGTTTTTGAGTCTGGACCTCGTGCAAATCAGATAGATCACCACTCCATTTCCAAGAATAGCAAATATTGAAGGAAGCCAGCCAAGAATCCAGTACCAATTCATTTCTAAATGTATGCAAAAGGTGCTGCTTTCAAATGACAATTGATATCAAACTTGGGTCGGGCGTTGGTGTAGGGAAGTTGACATTGTAAGATAGTCTGCTGGAAGCCCCCCATTAAGCAATTTCGAATGTATCATCACTTGACATTTCCTATCTGACAGATTCATATATTCAAACCAAATCATTTCATCACCAGAGGAAAATTCTGGCATATCGATGAAACTGAAGAAGAGACGATCTGATCGTTCTTACATTTTTTATAAAAGTCTTGCGGCAGGTCTTTTCCACATCTGAGCGTTTAATTGAAAGCGCTGGCTGCTTACAGAGGTCCACAAATAAGGCTTCACAATTTAAATCAGGCTGTTCATAGAACGATGCACGGCTGTCACATTAGAAGTCACCATGGTATTGTCACTATAAATATCGTTGATCTATTTTTAATCTCATCCGCACTCAAGTCCAAGTGTTCGCAAATTGGCTGAAAACCAGTCATTTAGTCCTAGCAAAGACTTCAATTCACAATTGTAGGGGGAAAGGGAAGAATATAATTATTCATTTTTTCTAAGGTATTGCATTGTCAGGTCAGCAATTTTTATTGTGAAAAGGGAAGGGCAATGGCGAAATTCCATGATAGACTTTAATTAACTTATTTTGTAATCGGCTCAGCTCAAGCTTTACATCCGCGGTTTTTCTAATCAGGATTTTGTGGGCATTAGCCGCCCATCTGTTATGAGAAACCAGTTCTTAACTAAATAGGTTACTTGTCATTTCTTTTGAGAGGACCTCGGTCACTCGACCACGTAAACATGTCCTTCAGTTGCCCGATGAATTTCATCAACAGCTTAACCAAGTTATCTTAGGTTACCTCATGATTAATTTCATTATTCAGGTTAGGGTCTTAGGTGACTAAAAAGCGACCGAGCTCACCCTTCGCGGAACTTGTGGCCTTACCAAAGGAGCTGTGCCTCTCGTCGCTCAGTAACATGTAATAACTCTAAGCAATGGATCCTTATTCCTCGCTTTATTTTCAGTCTATCGAATGTAAAGGTTTTTCGTGTGTGTTTGCGATCTCTTTAATCTACAGCTTCAATGTTTATGTCCGTTTTCGTTTAAGAGTTCCATGCATATTTCTGACAATTTTTCACATCTGATATAACTATATGCATACTGCTTCTAAAGTAAAACGAATTTTACATTAGTCAAAATAAACTCTTGGCTGTTCTCTCACGATCGAGAGATTAAAAGATGCATTGACTTAAGAAGACATAGTTTACATAAGTATGAACACAACAAAAAACCAACAAATCTATTAAACAGGTTTAGTTAATTAAATTGGCCTTACAATGATTCGCTTTCTTGCCTAAGGCTACTACATGCTTACATCAGGTCTGTGAAACCCTAGCAGAACGAAGATCTGCAAAAAAAAAAAAAAAAAAAAATTCCAAGCAGTTTTTGAGAGAACAAGTGCTTAGATTTTCAAGACAGTTTGTATGATAAAACGCTATTGGAAAATTAGCGAAAATTCGCTTGCATAATTTCTGTTTCTTGTTTTTTAGTAGTTAAAAACCAGCTGAAGCAACGATGAAGTTAAATTTCACAGACCTTTCACTCCCAACTGATCTCGTTACTGAATTCTCCTTACCGTCCACTATGCATTTCTTATGCTGTTAGTTCAGAGGATTTGTTATTGGATCAACTAATAATCCCCTAATTTATGTTTTCTTTATTCTCATCAATTGTCTACTTGATCAGTATTGTGTTGATATGGTAAGTTGAAAGGGTTAACCGAGGCTATCCGGCTGAGTCGAACTTCTGACACGGAGCCGTCGAACTCTGTCAGTAAGTTAATTTGTTCACTGCAGCTGCTCATCTATTGTCATTCTCACTTTTCTATCAATACCTCCCACCTGTCCATTTGATATCTTAGAACGCCGTCAGCCTTAGAATCTAATGTCACTTCATTCATTGCCATAAGTAATGTGGCCTTTTTCAGTTAGCATTTATATTCTTAGTCTGCTTCAAAGTAAAAAGTGAACCATAACATATAAGGGAGACTGACCTCTTCCTTTCCAGATAGAGAGAAAAGATTTCTTTAAAACAATGCAAAATTTTCTGTGGACCATGTTGAAGCTTGATTTGTGACGCAAGAAAATTTTGCGATTGCGAAAAAATAAAACATCCGGCTTTCTTTCTCTGCTTGCTTACTGATTAAAAAACATCTAAATCAGTTGCTATTTCAGTCATGGATGCTCTTATTTTTTCTCTGCTTTCTGCCAGCGACGAGCAAAGATATCATTCATGTGAAACCCAGCGTTTCCAGAACATCAACATTTTTAATGCATCTCTAAATTCTCGTTTCCTAATAGCATATATCCACGGATTAATTGCTGCATTAGAGAAAGCGACAAACAGCGCCCATGTTCCCAAAGATTCAATTGCTTTTTTCGTTTGGCATGGGGCGTTCTTTCCTAAAACAACTTCGTTGATGGAAAAAACTATAGCCGGCAAGGCTGTCAAGTAAAACACACCAATAACAACTGCAATCGTCAAAGACGCCTTTCTGTTGTACTTTGGATTTGTTGATCTCGGACCTGTCGGGCGGGACTAACACTGCGGCTGATGATTCAAACATTTAGATACGATGCATTAATAAATGGCCCGCGCCAAGTAACTGATGGCATTAAAGAAAATACATTTATACCAGTTATGCATGCTAAGAACGTCGGAATAATGCCAGGCCTTTTACAGCTGCAGTAGTTTAAAAGCACTCTAAAAACGTGTCATACATTTGACTTCAAAACAATAGCAGGTAACTGAATTCGATCTATGACCATCGGCAAGAGCCATAATAGGCAAGCCCTTTTCCATTTTTAGGACCCAGTTTTCAAACTTTAGGACAAAGGAAGGAGATTATTTGCAAATTTATGTTACCACAGCTGTTTTAGGTGTTTTTCCTCTTTTAGCTTTGATGGAAATTTTTCCTCTGAATCAGCCGTTTAATGTAGTCTTAAGAACCTCCTTTTCTTCATTTCAAAGCGATTACTTTTTCAAATTGCTTTCCAAATCGTAATGATTGAAACTTTCAGAACTCCAGCTGGCTTAAGTTTTAATGATAAGCCAAGATCCAACTGTTTTAAGCCATAATTCTTTTTCAGAACCGTTTATGATATTTGCATATCATTGTTTGCTGTTTCAGGAGAAATAACTAACTCGCAATGATATTAAAAACTATTCACGCATAAGACTATACATCAGCAAGTTTTAAAAATATTTGTGAGTTGTTTGTTTCAACGAAAAATTGAAACGAAATTTTGCTTACGTTCCAAGTTTCTGTTTTCGTGTTACTTAACCTGACCATATTTTGTTCTTATTCATCACGGAGCTGTTTTTTGTGGTCTTCAACAAAATTGAAAAGTCTAAAACTTGTTTGTTTACTTTCCATGTTCATGATTTAAAGATCATTTCTACAAACTGACCAGCCTATGGTAATCTTTGCCTAACAAATGTAGTTCCAAATCTTCAATACTTTTAAAGCGTCTCTAAATTCACTTTTCCTGGCTGCGTAAATCCACGGATTAACTACTGCATTCGAAAAGACGAAGAAGAGCGCCCAAGTTCCCCAAGACTCGAATGATTTTTTCTGTTCACAAGACATATTATTTCCCGAGACCAGTTCAGCGATGGAGAAGGCCAGAGCTGGCAGGGCTGTCAAATAAAACACACCGATCACTATCGCAATCGTCAAGGAGGCCTTTTTGTTCTGGATTCGGTTTGCTGGTGAAGGGGACCCACTCTGCTGATCAATAGCTCTTGACTGTCGGGACGCTTCTTTGAAAATGCAAACGTAGCAGTATGAAATGACTATTCCCGGGAGAAAAATTAATGTAGATATTGCCATCAACCAGTAAGAATCTTCGTTAATAATCAAACGTAGGCAAGCGATACTGCTTGAAATAACCCATACGCTCGTTACCGCATACTGAAGCCGTTTTATGGTTGCGATAACGTTATACCGCAAAGGCAAAATAACTCCAACGTACCTTTCCAAACTAACTGTACACAAGTTATATGTTGATATACCAACAGACAGAACATAAACGCAGTCCACAGCTACACTTAGGAGGTGTTCTTCGTCGGCGATTGATAACAAAGATCTTGTAATCCAAAGTGGAAGTGCAACGATTCCGACAAATAAATCACCGACTGCTAAGGAAGCAATGCAGTAATATGTGACAGTATGAAGTGATGGCTTCTTATATATTGCTATGAGTATTAATACGTTTGTTGTAGAAGCGATAATGGCGATCAACAGGCCGAGAGTCGTGGTTAACACAATGTTCCACTTTGATGTAGGGAGCGTTAGACATACTTCGTCGACCATGCTGTATCACTAGGAAACATACATGTTTGTCCGTCAATTATATGTGCAAATGATTAAAATACAAATGAACTAATATAAAAACATCGAAGTGTGGGTTTCTTGCGATCAGCAATTTGCGGTGGCCCATAAGTGTCACGGCAAAACTTCCGCAAAACACGGCGGAAGTGAGAGGCCACGGCGAAAGTGAAATGCTACGGCGGATGTAACCTGATAACTATTTCATTACAGGCCATTATATGTTTTGAAAACTATGGCGGAATCTGTGGAAGTTAATCTAGAAGATGAGTACTTTGAGTTACCAGAGGACGACGAAGAAGGCCTAATACGCTATTATTTCTTCGGGGGCTTCGAGTGCGAAGAGATTCGTTTGTTTTTACTGAAAAATCACGATATCCAAATGAGCCTAAGTACCTCAAAACGGCGAATTAAAAGCTATGGTTTGAAAAGAAAACGGCCGGATTACAACATCGATGATGCGAGGGCATCTATCGAAAGTATTATCGACGGCCATGGATGTTTACTTGGATACAGGTCAGTATGGCACGCGCTGCAGCTGAGAGGAACTAGAGTGCAGCGCATCGTTGTACAAGAACTGTTTAGAGAAATGGATCCTGAAAGCTCGGAGTTAAGAAAGGGGCGTCGCCTTAGAAGGAGAATTTATCTCAACCCTGGTCCAAATTGTACGTGGCATTGTGATGGCTACGGTAAACTGAAACCTTTCGGTTTCCCAATCCATGGGTGCATCGACGGCTGGAATAGGAAGATAATGTGGTTGTATATAACTCGATCCAATAACCAACCGAACAATGTGGCAGCCTATTATCTTGATGCCGTAGAAGGGTATGGAGGGTGTCCAGTTGATCTGGTCACAGATCTGGGCACTGAAAATGGGATCATGGGGGGTATCCAGTCTTTCTTTCGAGATGATCCTGACAGTCACAGATATGTGCCATCTCCCCGAAATCAACGAATAGAAGGCTGGTGGGGATTCTTCGACTAATCTCATTCTAATTGGTGGGTAAACTTTTTTTAAAGATATGGTCGAGGCAAGACTAGCTGATATTACCTCCGAACTTGAAATGGAGTGTCTGTGGTTTTGTTTTTATGAATTACTTCAGAAAATTTTAGACAAAATAAGAGTACACCGGAACATCCATCGCCGTTCGAGGTTCTCGACATGACACCGTGAAGGGAAGACCTGACTCACTTGACTACCTTCCTGAGCTTCATGGGGCTACTGACCAGCTCCTGCTACCCATAAGTGAAGCTGAAAGCCATTATGCCCGTTCTCATCTCATTGAAAGCCACTCAAGCAATATTTATCAAGATTACTTCAAGTATGTTTATGATGTTTGTGGTCTTCAAAACCTAATGACTGGAGGGAAGCGTTGGAGCTTTTATTATGGCATTCCTCTGCAATTTGCCTGCAATGTGAGCACCTGGCTTACAGTTTCCATTAGAAATAAAAGACTTCTCTGGGCTCTGGTTGTTGATAGATTTAAAAGTTAAAGTCAAAGTTGTACTTAATTAGTTCTAAATCTCTAGTCGCTGCATCTTTGATGAGAGTTTTTTTCTGCAGAAACTGCCTCTATAAGAAGTATAAGGCTTCTCAGGATTGGCACCCCTGAAAGGTGTTGTATGTTAGCATTCTTCATAACAGTTGTTTGTGATGATTTGTTAAAAAAAGATATAGTTTGCAAATGACGACTAGCAAAACAGACATCAACCCAAATTATCTGTGCTCTACGAAGTACATCATTAGTGATTAAACATGTTAAAATAAACAGTTTATTAACATGTGGAGTTTAACATGACATGGGATGGTACGTGTGCTCGGTACCCACAAGAAAATAGTACTTAGATCCTAAATAGAGATAACAACTTCTTCATCATCGCAGTCTTCGTCTTTTCTTTCGGCTACCTCTTTTCTTTTTGCTAAACTTTCCCTTATTTGCATTTGCTTTTGATGACTTGTACTCAATGAAGGACTTTACATCTACACGGCCAAACAAGCCTTTAGACAAGTCCGTCTTAGGCTGCAAAATGCCTACAAATGAGAACATATGAAAGTATTTTAGACAATAATGCACCTGTATATAAAAAGTATAAACACTGAAATGAAATAACTACATCCCAGTCCCAGACTTAAATGAACACTTTGCTATCAAATTAGGGGAAGAGCAAAGGGAATTGAAACATTTTCGAAACAATTTTGCACCCTCAGACAAAGCATCCTCTACTAGATATGTATTGTTTACCGATCAAAGAAAACCCTCTCGAATGTGAAGCACAAAAAGTAGATGGAATCAGAAAAAAAGCCCTTTCCAGCTTCGAGAAATTATGTTTTAATTTCCTTGGTAAAATAATAATGACAGACAAGGAACTATGGGATGCATTGTTCCAGAGTAGAGCACTACCCATTAGCCCTATCTAGCTTGTCATATAACTAAGTTCAGCATGAATGATAATGAAAGCCAACAAAGGTTTGAACAGTGCAATACTGTTGCTTCAAATCTGTGACTAGGGTATCTCACAACCAGATCTAAATCTTATTATCTCTGTAAAAGCAAAGTGCCAAAAAACTTCCATCTATGAATGACTTCACTTTGCATCATCTTGTGTAAAATTATTCCATTGAAACAAGATCATGATGTAACTTGATATTTGATTTAGATTTATGAAAGTGGATTTTTGGTAGGCTTGTGACATTATTCTGCATGCTGGAGTACGTTTGGGACTGTAAACAGATGCATATTTTGTAGACTAGACACTAAAGTAATAATTTATTATTATCACCGTTAGATGCAGTAGGGATAATAGATTTTAAAATCATTGTCTAGGTTCTAATAATTTGTAAAAAGGACAAAACAGCAGCCCCACTTTGGGGTCCACGTGATATTGGATTCTGCCCCTAACAATGATCATCACTCTAGACAACTGTGTGACATCATCACTGCAGGACTGGATGCTATCATGCCCGCAGTGAAATCTAAGGTTCATCTTAATGACCCTCCGTGGATTACTCCTGAATTTAAGACTCTAATCGCCAAGCGTCAGCAAGCTTTTATGTCAGGGGATTTAGCCAGCTTCCGTCGCCTCCGAAATACTGTTAACCGGGAGCGAAAAACTCTTCGTGAGAGGCCTTTTGCTTCTAAAGTTGAACACCTAAAGAACACCAAGCCCTCCCAATGGTGGGGGGAGGTCAAGCGTATCGCTGGGATGACCCCTGCGTCAGGTTCTGACAGTCTGCGTTCGCTACTCCACGTTGAGGGACTGGATCACCATCTTCCAGACCGTGATGTCGCAAACGCTATCAATTCTGCCTTCCTGGACCAAATGAATTCTTTCTCGCCACTCGATGCTACTCCACCCTTCGCAGCGAACTTGGTAGTGGTAACCATTTCTGAGCTCGATGTTTTGACCGCAATCAGAAAGTTGAACCCCCGCAAGGCTACGGGTCTCGATGGGATACCTAGTTGGGTGTTTAGGGAATATGCTGACTTTATAGCTCAGCCAGTGACTTCCATCCTTAATTGTAGCTTTGCTGAGCAACAACTCCCCCCATCTTGGAAGCTGGCGGATGTGGTACCCATTCCTAAACAGAAACCTGTCGAAGTCATCAAGAAGCACTTACGACCTATTTCCCTCACACCAATAATTTCCAAATTAGCTGAAGACTTCGTGGTATCTGCGTTCATCGGTCCAACTGTGTTGAAAATCATCGATCCCGACCAGTTTGGAGCCTTACCGAAATTCTCCACGGCCCTAGCTCTGACGTCCATGCTCCATCACTGGACGCGCGCAACTGATGGCACGGGATCTGGAGTCAGGGTAGTCCTGTTTGACTACCGCAAAGCTTTTGACTACATTGACCATCAACTGCTCACTCATAAAATTTACAGTCTTGATATCCCTCGGGGTGTAGCACGTTGGGTAGTGGACTTCTTAGTGCATCGCTACCAACGCGTAAAATTATCTGCTGATTGTTTCTCTGAGTGGGGGCCCGCACCAGCTGGTGTACCTCAGGGGACAAAATTGGGGCCATGGCTCTTCTTGCTAATGATAAACGATCTAAGAATTCCCCAGGTTCAAACTTGGAAGTACGTTGATGACACGACGGCGGCAGAGATCGTCCCGCGTAACGCATTTGGTGACGCCCAAACCGTTGTTAAAGTGGTGGAGGATTGGTCCAAAGCACAGAAGATGCAGCTTAACGCTGACAAATGCAAAGTTATGGTCATCGACTACAAAAGGCAGAAACACCATTTCACTCCCCTCTTGGTTGATGGCAAAGAATTAGAGACGGTAGAGTCGGCTAGGATCCTAGGCGTGACTATTTCGTGTGACCTTAAGTGGAACAACCACATCAATGATGTTATAAAAAGAGCAAACAAACGATTATACTTTTTAGTCCTCCTAAAGAGAGCCCGCGTTCCAGCGGATGACATAATTAATTTTTATTGTACAACTATACGTCCTGTTCTGGAATACTGCGCACAAATATTCCATCATGCGTTACCTGCGTATCTTAGTGATGACATTGAAAGGGTCCAAAGACGCGCATTATCCATCATTTCACCAGAACTGTCATACCATGACTCTTTAGAAAGGCACGGTTTAGCTTCGCTCTATGACAGACGCATGAAATTATGTACGGATCTGTTTTTGTCTGTCTCAAATCCATCTCACAAATTAAATAATTTGCTGCCAGATAGGCATCTTTCAGCTTACAATACTAGACACCGGCGCGTTTTTAACATGCCGCGCTTTCGCACTGATCTTTTAAATCTTCATTTATCCCGGCTATGTGCGCGTGTGCTAACCTAGATTTTTAGCTATTGCACTGCGGTATACTAGTTATAGTTGTTATATTAGTAATTTTAATTAGGTCTTAGCATTTTTGTAGTTTGGTTGTCTTATATAGTCTTATATAATCAAAGATTGTGAAAAGCACGCAATTCAGCCTATGGCTGCAATGTATTTTATTTGGTAATAAACTATCTATCTATCTATCTATCTATCTATCTATCTATCTATCTATCTATCTATCATCTCATATAACTGGTATCCCTCCATCTATGAAAATGGGCAGGTACCACTCTTTTTGCCTCCAGTCCA